TGAATTACATTTACCTTGCGTCGAGAATATTGACAATCATCAAACAAAATTCAGAAATTCAATGTCTGAATAAAAGCTACATATAATGCTTAGAGTGAGATTTTCATTTATATGCAACAAGACAAAATTAGTCACGAAAGAAACAAGGATATACATCTGAAAGTTCCATAAGTTCAAACTCGCGACGGCAAATGTCAACGTTGACGCATGCCGATTCATTAAACCTGGCCATAATTACCATCGTGAAATGGTCAGACGAAATTCCAACTTTGAAATTGATACTTATGACGAAAGTTCCATATTCTCTGCATAAAGACATTTCGAGCAATGTAAAATGTGAGGGATTAAATCAAATAATTGATACATGACCACCTGCAATTATATCAACTCTGACTCGTGACGAAATAACGGCACGTTGACTTAGCGACTTCGCGCAGTCACCACGACGGAATCATACAATAAAATGAAAATCATCGGTATTCATAGTCTGACAACAGCTTTGCACTGTAACTGCTTAGAGGCTTCCATTGGATGACAAAATGATGGTTAAAGTCAAACAACTGATATAGATGACCATATAAATTCAAACTCTTAACCACTGACTGCGAACTGACGTTTCGGTATCTGACAGTCGTCAAAATGTAATTGCAATAAAAAATCCTGTAGTTTGACAGAGGCATCAGTCTTCACTCACAAAAAGCTATCTATTGATATATAACATGACAGGCTGAACTGCGCAATTTATGCAGCTGACCACTGTCCAATTATACAAATTCAATGCGGCCGACTGCAGGACCAAGCGCTGATACCAACCAGCGTCCTGCGTAAAAACGTCATGGACCGATCCAGAGGTACTCACTTGCCTAACTCCGAAGAATGAGAGATATGGAACCCGGCTAAATTTCAAACCCACGCTTATTAGACTGAAAATCAAATATTTACTGGCTAAGATATCCGAGCAAGTACAAAACAAATTTGCAATCTCAACTGCTAGTAATAACAGCAGCTGAAATAACAATAGCAATATTAATTAAGGAAGTTAATACACCAAACCTTACTGATTATAAAACTAATCACAATTAATACTGGTGTACAGAAGTTTAGCGCAGAATAATTACTACAGTCTGTTTCCTTCAGTTTTAGACCTGAAATATTGCGTTGTAAATCGTATACATAAGATTCACAGCTGTTAAGTTTACAGACAGCTGGAAACTACAATCAAGGATTCTACGATGTCAGATAACACTCCACCTCTAACTTTCAGTGCAGTGAGAGCAAAATCAGAACAAAACTATAGAAAGAAAGCGTAATGTTTGCAATGAAAAAGCTGAGAAAAGACCTTTAGACAAGTTTCATGACTGACAGATATGACATGAAACTAGTCATGAGAAACCGAAGTTAGAAAACCTTCGTATGCGACGACAAGGAGAGAATACCTGAGTATAACGGAACCTTTCCATACTCGCTGTCAAACATTTCTCAGCTCAAAAGACATAGTTGGGATCAGCAAAAGGACGTATAAAAATTCAGGGTTATATATGCATCTTAGCCCTTAAATTCAGAGATTTTAGCGGAAACAAAAGCACGAATGTCAATGCTAAAGCTCGTTTCGACAAAACAGAAAAGATAATATGTTAAAAATAGCTCAGACCTAAGGCGAGGTTTCAAAAGTATGTCTCCGCCGTGCCCATTCGATTAAAAATAAGGCCATATCTATGATGACTGGGTTTTCATCCCTCCCTGAAACACAACTTGTGGCATACCTCGATTTATAGACTGCGGTAAAGAGACTACATACAAGGAAAGCAAAGCTTGAGAGATCACACTCACTGAATTTATAATCGTCAAGTTGTATTATACGACTGTGAAACAAATTAGTCGCATGAGAAAGTGACTACTTACGCTATGGACATTTCCTGAACGTCAGTCGAATCAAGTTTCAGATAAGGATTATTCGCCGCTGGCTTGAACTTGTAACCCGTAAGGACGTAAAAAATCAGCGATCCAAGTTCTTCAATCGCCACTGTCATCCATTTGTACTTGAATGGAATCGTGAACTAGAAATATTGCCCGCTTAGCAACGTCAGATGACATGAAAACGACACGTGCTTACGGCGATGAGGTACTTGAGGATACGTGTCAGATAAATATAGCAGATGATGATGACGTAAAACTGGCGGAAGAGCTTAAGTTTCTCTAAGTTGAATGCCGCCTTGCCGTCGGTATGCGACGCTTCCTCCAGATGTTTTATGGACCTAAAACGAAAAATGCAGGGTCACAAAACTGCATCAAATACTAGCCGTGCGTGTCAAAGCGGACAGAGGTTCAACCGACGAAAGACAGAAGAGAAGTTACCCTGAGCAGTTATTTTCTAACGGCATCGCGACACAGCTGCAGCAGGAAACAACAACAATTAAACCTTTAAAACTGAAAAACTGTCTGAAAATCATTAAGACC